TTTTTTTTTTTTTTTTTATTATGTAGTTAGTTAGGGTTTTGTTTTTTTTTTTTGTTTTAGTTTCTATTTATTTTTATTTGTATTTCTGTTTTAGTTTTATCTTTTGCAGTTCTTTATTGGTGGATTTTCTGCTTAGTGTTAATTTATTTTTATAGTTTTATTTTATTTTTTTATTTTTATTTTTACTTTCTCATAACCTTATTGTTGTATTTTTCGTTTTATTTTGTTTTCTTTATTTCTCTAGATTTGTGTTTTTATTTTTATTTTTATTTTTATTTTTATTATTTTGTATTTTTATTATTTTTAATTTTGGCTATTATTTTTTATTTTTATTTTTATTTTTATTTTTTTTTTGCCTGTCACCTCGGGGCAGCTGACGGTGTAGTCGCGGGCGCAGAGAGAGACGCAGGGCCATCTGAATCCGCAGCGGCGTTCTATTGTTTTTTTTTCTTCCTGCATATGTAAACAGCAGAAAGAATGCAGCAACAAAAACACCAAAAGAATATAAATCAAATAACATAAACAGACAGATGCTGCTGCTGCTGTTGCTGCTGTTGCTGCTGCAGCTGATCTGCTGCTGCTGCTGCTTACGGCTGATAAGTCGGTGTACTTTGCTTTCCTATCGCATTTGCCTGAATTCTCTTGCGTTTGTTTTTGCAGCTAGAAAAGGCAATTGAAGTATTACCTGTGTATAAGAAAGGAGCGACGCAGCTGTCGTCTTGGTTGTGTACCTGCATGCAAGCATATATATACATACATACAAACATACATACATGCATACATGCATGCATGCATGCATGCATGCATGCGTGCATGCATGCATGCATGCGTTCAGGGTTTGAGTTACCCAGAGTTCAGGGCAGGGCCGGTCGTAGTCTTTCTCGCACAGCGAAACCTCCGGCCATTCAAATTTGCATATTTGTTCAAGTTGTCGCTTTGCGGCGGCGTCTTCAGGGAAAGTATTGACGGTCTGTTTGTTATATTTCAGAAAAAATAATAAAACAAAATAAAAATAAAATATTATAGACGCCGTACTGCACACGGACCAACATAGCTCGGCAACGCCTCGCAAACACCTCCTACCCCTCTCTCGATCCACCCTATTGCATTTAGAAATTGAAAATAAAATAAATAAAAACAAAAATAAAAATATTTAATGTGTACCTTCGGGACAGAGAAGCCCGTAGTTCTTTACTGCAACAACACGCAGCAACCCGTTCAAAAGAAAGAGGAAAGATATCGCTGAGGGAAAGCGAAAGTTGAAGCAAAATGGGGCCATTCCCTCTGCAGAAAATAATAAATAAAATATTTAACTCATAAAAGTCAATGAAATGGCAGCGAACACCGCACAGGAGGATCAGCTGAACTCGCCTCTGCGGTGTATGGTCAGCTGGTTGGGGTGATGTGAGTCAACAGAAAATTCAAATAAATTTCTAGAGAAGAATACGTGCATCTTTGTGTATATATTTATGAAAGAAATAAACCCCAATATCCTCTAGGATCACTGCCAGCAGATCTATGCAAGTATCGTGCAGGAAGGTAACATGCACAGGTAAGCAGCAGCGTGCAGGAGAAAACGACCGAAAAAGAGGAAATACGTCTGAAACAACGTCAGTGGATGTTTCATCACTTGAAAAACGAAATAAAATTTCAAATTTTCACTGCATTTTCATCTTTTTTTGCATGTTGAATATTGCCGTCTGTAGCAGTTTCTCTCGAACACAGAACGGAAACAAGCTAAGAATTTTACATGTTATGTATATAATTTGCGTTGCATAATATATTATTATATTATATAAAATACAGTATATTATAATATATATAATTCGCATATTATTATACTACTATACTGCTCAGTTTCTAGAACATTCAAATATGTTTGCATAGAAGAGTTGCTGCAGTCACTCCGCTGCACCACCGGCCTCGATACCCCTCTAACGCTGGTTTAAATAAATATATTTATTTAAATATATTTAAATAAATATATTTAAATTTCGGGATGGTAGTTGACACGTGGAGGAGTTTTTGCTTTCCCTGCATCCTCAATTAACTCGCTTAGTATGCGGCTGCATCGCGGCGCTGAGGGGGCTGCCTGTGTTCTTCTGGTGGGGGGGAATTGCAGTATTCTCGATGCATCAGTGTTCGATGCCAGAAGAGAATTTCTCTTTTTCTGTGAAAATTTAATTTGAATTTCGTGGAAATAATGTTTTTAATTAGCCGGAAACTGATGCTCACCTGTTCTGCCTGTTTTATCCTCTCTAGCAATGTGTTGTACTGCTGCTGTCGTTCATGAACTCCTTTTGAATCACTACTTTTGTTTTTTTCTGAACGACGGAGAAATGCATATTGCAACTCTCGGGACAACCGATCCCTCTCCTGTCGTGCAACAACAACGGCCTCTTGAGCCCTTGTCGTGCATTTGAATTTCTCCTCTGTCTCCCCTTTGCAGCGTCTCAGCTCTTCCTGGAGTCTATGCAGCTCTTCGACGTGGTTTTGCTGTTTAAATAAAATNCTTTGCAGCGTCTCAGCTCTTCCTGGAGTCTATGCAGCTCTTCGACGTGGTTTTGCTGTTTAAATAAAATAAGGAAAGCAGCAAGCATGAGGGTTTTAAGGGGCCGGTTAGCCAACAGCAACGACATACATGAGCGGCCGTAAGCAGAGCTTGTTTTCTATTTCTTGTCTCTACTAAGGAATTGTACTGAGCCTGCAAAGAAATAATTTCTGCAGATGTTGCAGTGTAGATGTGGGTGAGGAGGTACGAGGATCAAGCATCCTTACCCTGCTGCGTTGCGTGAGAGGCAAGCTGCGCTGCTGCGTTCAGTTCGTGTCTACTTTGCCGCAGTTGAGATATCCTGAAAGTATATTTTTATATATTTGAATTATATAATTTTTCGAGCTAAGTTTCTCGGATTCAGCAAGGATCGTACTGCCTCAGCGTCTGGAGCCGTTCATGTTTCCTGTCGAGTGCAGCTTCGCACAAGCGACGAATTTTTGCAGATTCTGAGGAAAATGTTGAGGAAACCACCGGG